TAGGGTGACCTTCCGCCCGCCCCAAAGCCCCAGCCGCCGCCAACCGCGCGCAAGCCCCGTCCCGTCTCAGATGGCATCTTTCTGTCCAACTCATTCCAGCTGCCCGCAGCGGCCAATGCCAACAGTACTGCTCCCAAAGCAGGGCAGCCCCCTCACCCTCCCGCCAAACCCAGCTTCATCCCATCAGCCAACTCGAAAGGTAGAGACGCTGAGGAGAGTAAAGGGCCCGACCTCAGCCCCGCTCATCCTCCATTTATTATTGGTTCATTCGTTTTCATGTTTTGGTTTTTTTTTGGTGTTCGTTTGTTCCTTTTCCTGTTCTCCAGTGGAGACTCGGCGCTCTCCATTTTCCACATTTCCTCTACCTCTCTATCTGTAAATTTTCGTAGTATCAAAGCCAATCAGTCGAATCATATGTCCTGGTTTCTAACATTTCTTTATTTTGTTTCTCATTTTATCCTTCCTTTTACAGGGAATCTTCTAGGTTCAAGTTGAGCTTAACTGAAAGCAACTGTTCGATTAACAGACAATATTGACTTCCGTTTAAAAGTTTGGGGTCAGTAAGGATTTTAAAAAAGAAATTCATACTTTTATTCAGTAAGGATTCATAAATTGATCAAAAATGACAATGAAGACATTTATAATGTTAAAAAGTTTTCTGTTTCAATTAAATGCTGTTTTTAAGAATCCTGAAAAAAAAAAAAAAAAAAAGAATTCCTAAAAAACACACCTTCCAAAAAAAAAAAAAAAAAAAAAAAAATATAATGTTAAAAAGTTTTCTGTTTCAATTAAATGCTGTTTTTAAGAATCCTGAAAAAAAAAAAAAAAAAAGTATTCCTGTTTCCACAAAAACACTTAAGCAGCTCAACTGTTGTCAACATTGATCATCAAAAATATTTCTTAAGCGCAAAATCAGCATATTAGAATGATTTCTGAAGGATCGTGTGACGCTGTCAAAAATTCAGCTTTGCCATCCCAGGAATAAATTACATTTTAAAATATATTCAAATAGAAAACCATTATTTGAAATAATTCATTTAAATAATATTTCACAATATTTCTGTTTTTGCTGTAGTTTCAAATAAATCAAATAAATACAGCCTTGGTGAGTATAAGAGACTTCTTTAAAAAACATTAAATAAAAACCTTAAAGGCCCCAAACTTTTGAACGGTACATGTTAAAATAATTTTTTTTATGTGTTAACATAAGGCTTATGTGATAAAAATCCTTACTGAGCTTGTCTGGGTAAAGTTATATCCAAACTTTGTTTGTCATGATGACATTACTGCTGTAAAATGCCTATAAACTATAGTACATACATTTTTTGGCAAAATGTTTATGCAATAATACCAGGAAAGTGGCATAACTTCCTTATGTACATTGAGTTCAGCTAGTAGTTTTCCAGACCTTTGCCTTGAGCCATCAGAACAACATTTTAACCTTCATTTAAGTAATCAATTAATAAAGAAATTAATAAAATGTTTTTTTATTTATTTATTTATTTATTTTTTTAATAAAGGCATCACTTATTTTATGCATCAATTGCTGTCAATTGAGCTTAACTTGTATTGAACCTGGAAAATTCCTTTTAATTAGTAATTAGATTTTTGTTTGTTTGTTTGTTTGTTTTCCGATCACCTATTCTCCCCGATTCCTCTTCCTCGAATCATCCTAGAGCCGTACAAGCAGTCAGTAGACCTCGTGATTCGCTGTGCGGTCCAAAATCAGTCCAAGTACTGTTGGTGTTGCCAGCCGTTTCATGTGTGTGTGATCTGCTTTGGGGTAGGCCCGGCCTCAGCAGCTAGACGCATGCCCGTCCATTATCAGCTCAGGGAACGAGACACTGGCTTCTTCTTACTTGCAGTGGTGGGCTCAACACTGCACCTCTCCTCAGTCCTGTTTACACTTGGCAAAGGGGAAAAGATCTGTCGGATGAGGCGCTTTTTTGTGCTTGACTGTTTAAAAGCCATCTGAATTTGTTGTGCAGCACAGAGACCTTTAGCAATCTTGGTGCAGACAGTCACTCTGAAATTTTTAATTTTTTTGTTCATTTTACATCAGTGCATGTAGTTCAGCCAAGTCAAAACTGTTTGAAAAAATGTGTTAGATGTTTTGAAAGTATGTTTGTATATTACATTTTTATATCAGTTCAATATTTTTTCCTCAATAAACATTGTATCCTTAAGGAAATTTATTGAAAAAAAGCAACAACAAAACAAAAACATTATTTTAATTATCATTCAATTATATTATTTGTATAATTAATTATTATATTTTAATTTAAAATATATATAAATAAATACTATTTAAATTTTACAAAATTATTACATGAATTTTCCTTTATTTTAATCACCAACTTTACCTTTCTAAAGTTTATTATTGAAGAAAAAATGTAGTTACTAAGTCCTCGTTTAACCTTTTCAAACATACTTTTATATATATTTCTTTTCTTTTTTAAGATTTTGCAATTGTCTGTACGTACTTATTTTTAAAGTAACTTATGCAACATTTCAGATGTGAAACTTTTAAACAGTCATGTGCAAAAATGTAGCAGTTCAACCCTATTTCACAAAGATGCCCAGTGTATCTGACCTTGCATGTAATCTGCACAAAGCTTCACCCCATTTAATGTCATTGGGGCCTGTTGTGATCAAAATTGCATTTACGCTTACCAAGGAACTAACTTTGCATTAATCAACCAATCAAAAGCACAGCATTCCTCCCTGCTCAGACTGACTGAAGCTTTTCAAGCCACGAATCAACCAGTGCAATCGCTACGGCTTTGCTTAATTTTGCTTTGCTCTTACCAAATCAACATCATTCCTGTCTGCAACACTGCTGAAGCCTCTCATAGACCCAAAACCAGTTCAATCTAACAGCCTCTTAGCAAAACACTAGTGATGTGTTGACACCAGTCTAGTGCACTGTAGATATTTCATACACACCCTTTGATTTTTGTCTTTACATTTAGACTCGGTTCCAAAACCTAGTAAGCTGCCTACTTCGGGAACTGTTAATCACCGCAGGTTCTTTTTGGCCAAATTCTCAGGCAGTATCGAATGTAATCCAAGGACAAGTGGACAAGTCTAGATAAATGTCAATAATAAATAAGAATAGAAAATATGTATAATAATAATAATAATATAAACATTTCTTAATTACTGACAAATATTATATAAAAACAACATTTAGATAATAATGATATATTTATACATATAATATGTATATTTATTCAATAAAACGTTTTATTGTCAAATGTTAATTCAAATATTACATTCATTAGTGAAAATATATATAAATTAATAATAATGACCATGTATAATAATAATCATAAATTATTTATATAACAATATAGAATATTTAAAATATACATAAATTATTATTATTGTTTTGTTTGTTTATGTTAATGTTCATTCCAGAAAAAGTAATTAAGATCAATCTAGATTAATTATATATGATATGAGTTGTGTATTAGATCACATTGTTTGCTTAGCATGCTGCTTATGTTGAGCACCTCAAACCAGTCACTTTTGAGGTTCCGTCTCACTTAATGTCACCTTAAAAGGCAACTCACTAGGTTATGGAACAGAGCTTTAGTATTGACAATATTGATTTTGCTTGGTTTCAGCTGTGTTGTAGTTCTCACTCTTATCTTCTGTCTGTCTGCTGTCTTTATATGTGTTTGGCATCATCATTTGCTTGGCTCCACCCACCCTCCCCTGCTTCCTCTCACGTCGGGCTGCATGGAATCATGGGATTCCACAGCCCCTCCCATCACCTTCTCCGAGGAGGTGCATCGACCTACTGGAACCACCAAGTCTCTGAGCAAAAAGGATCACAAGCTGTAGACTTTCAGCCTTTAATGTTCATTTCCTGCTTTGAGTTGCCATGGGAATTTTTAATGGGTTTTTAGAAAGCATTTTTTGATTTATGAGTAAAGGTAAGGTATTTGATCAACATTACTTTGGGAAAAAAATAAATAAATAAAAATTAACAGTAAAAAGTTTTTTACACAAGTAAAAATTGACATTTTGTACCTTTAAGATAAAACACATTTCAATTTCAGCAAATTTCAACAAGCTGTTGTACCCTTAAAGGTACAATTTTTGCACTTTTTTCTGAGAGTTTATGAAAGACTATACTATAAAATTGTGACTTTAGGTGTTTGGTGAATCATTGTAAGTCCTTATGTCAGAACTTGAATTTCTGTAGCACAGAATGGTTTCAAATCTCATTTTTGAGGTCTGACGGTGTAATTTTTAATAGAAAAAAAAACATGGAAGTCTCAAAGTAATGTGAACCACAGATCTTAGTTTGCTCATAAATCAAAAACCTTAAATGTTCTCGAGGGAATCAGTGGTCATTCTCTTCCAGGTTTTATGAATACAGCCTGAACAGCTCGATTCAAACATACAAACAAATACAGACTTTTGCTTCATATTTTGTGTTGAATTCAAAACCACAGTATAAAACAACCTGGAGCACAAAACCAGTCTTAAGTCGCTGGAGTATATTTGTAGCAATAGCCAAAAATACATTGTATGGGTCAAAATTATTGATTTTTCTTTTATGCCAAAAATCATTAGGATATTAAGTAAAGATCATGTTCCATGAAGATATTTTGTAAATTTCCTACTGTAAATATATTAAAACTTAATTTTTGATTAGTAATATGCATTGCTAAGAACTTCATTTGGACCTTTTTTTTTTTAAATATTTAGATTTTTTTGCACCCTCAGATTCCAGATTTTCAAATAGTTGTATCTCGGCCAAATATTGTCCTGTCCTAACAAACCATACATCAATGGAAAGCTTATTTATTCAGCATTGAGTTGGTCCCGGGTCACATTTGGCCTCAGAAACAAAACCTTTTGCCTCTAATTGGGCCTTTTCTTTCTTTGGCTGCTTGTTTTAGGCTAAACCACCAGCTGTCCTGTTTTGCTCTTGATGTACTTGGTTGTCACCAGTGGAGAAGGTTTTTTTTTTTTGGTTCACAAGTCTATGTGTTTGTGTCTTTCTCCGGCCCAAACTCATTCCATTATCAGTCAATCAATGAAACCGTCAACATGCATTTGGATTGCGGCGGTGCTCTTGCACCCCATTGGTTAGAAACAAACTTCCGTTCTGTGGTTCAGTGCGGACCGTCCCTTCGCCCTGACAGACACAAGACACGTGAGCCTCACAGACGATGCCTATGCTAGGTCAGTGGTGGGGGTTGCCGTACAGGCCAGTTGTGCAGGGTTGGGAAGCGTCTCGCTTACAGACGCTCCTCAACATGAAACAAGTTTAGAAGCAGCTGGTGCTTGACCTCCACCTTTGACCTGTGATCCACAGACCTCGTGTCAGGTGTGCTTTGGAATGCTTTAACACTAACTAAACCAGCTTTCTTCTCGCTGTTCAGCTTCTGGTCTGTGGAGTCCTATTGAAAACAGAAGTTGCTGGGCCAACAGTATGGTTAAACTGCACGTTGAACAGATTTAAGTGTCTGTTCTATGGGGATGTAGGGTTTTAAAGTCAACTTAAATTATGTACTGTATATTTATATAGAAATGTAAATTATGTTCTTAAATTATTATCATTATTAATATGTGTTATTGGTAACTAAAACAATTGAAAATCAATTTGAAATTAAGTTGTAATTTAAATAAAGCTGCAATAAAATAAGTATTACTTGAAAAACTTTTTTTTTTTTTTTAAATGAGAAATGTTACCTTGGCAATAAAACTGTAATAAAAAAAGTTTGAGTACTAAAATTACTCAAATTAAAACTAATATAAAAACAAAGCTAAACAGTAATATTTAAAAACAACAAAAACTAATTAAAAGACAAAAGCACTTTTTAAAAGCAAAAGCACTTTTTTTTTTTTTTTTTATAATTTTTTATTAGTTTTTTTGTTTGTTTTTAATTATTATGTTTAGCTTTTTTCTATTTTAGTTTTAATTTCAGTAATTAAACTTATTTTATTTCAGTTACTTGCCAAGGCAACATTTCAGTTTTTTTTAAGTTAAGTTTAAGTTTTTCCATGTAATATTTATATAATGTCATTTAATTGATTTAAATGAATACAAATTATTTTTAAATAATTTGTTACAAATAACTATATATATATATATATATATATATATATATATATAATGTATGTATGTGTGTGTGTGTG